GCACGGAATGTGCGAGTGTGCAAATGAGCACGGAATGTGCGAGTGTGCAAATGAGCACAGAATGTATGAATATGCAAACAAACACAGAATGTTCAAATATGCAAATGGACACAGAATGTTGAATATGCAAATGGCACAGAATGTTGAATATGCAAATGAACACAGAATGTATGAATATGCAAATGAGCACATAATGTATGAATATGGAAATGAGCACAGAATGTATGAATATACAAATGAGCACAGACTATATGAATATGCAAATGAGCTTAGAATATATGAATATGCAAATGAACACATAATGTATGAATATGCAAATGAACACAGGATGTATGAATATGCAAATGAACACAGGATGTATGAATATGCAAATGAACACAGAATGTATGAATATGCAAATGAGATCAGTGTGTGAGTATGCAAATGAGCACAGAATGTGTGAGTATGCAAATGAGCACAGAATGTGTGAGTATGCAAATGAGCACAGAGTGTGTGAATATGCAAATGAACACAGAATGTATGAGTATGCAAATGAACACAGAATGTGGGAGTATGCAAATGAGCACAGAATGTGTGAATATGCAAATGAACACAGAATGTATGAATGTGCAAATGAACACAGAATGTAAGAATATGCAAATGTATGATTATGCAAATGAACACAGAATGTATGAATGCGCAAATGAACACAGAATGCATAAATATGGAAATGAGTACAGAATATATAAAAATATGCAAATGAGCATTGGATACACATTTACTTACTATGTTTTGGAATGCAGGAACCAATGATCCAAGTTTACTTTTCAGATTTGGAGCACACACATCCAATGCATCATTACACCACTGCAAAGAATTTATATCCATCAAATTCATACCAGACCCTGGGGAGACAAATATGACATTTGTCAAGAAGTTGGTTAGACAAACACCAATATGACATGTGTCAAGGAGTTGGTAAGTAAGACAATCACCAATATCACATGTGTTAAGAAGGTGGTAACACAACACCAAAATGACATGTGTCAAGAAGGTGGTAAGTAAGACAATCACCAATATGACATGTGTCAAGAAGGTGGTAACACAACACCAATATGACATGTGTCAAGAAGGTGGTAAGTAAGACAATCACCAATATCACATGAGTTAAGAAGGTGGTAACACAACACCAAAATGACATGTGTCAATAAGTATGACATCTACTGATATTCACTCACCATCACTGTGATCTATGGGAGCATATTCACCAAGAAATAACGAGGCTGCAAAACTACTGACTAGAGATATCCTCTGTAAAAAAATATAATAATTATTATAATAAAAACATGAAATTATTGTCTTATACTTAAAATTCACATACATGATATATCTTGTTATTATACCTCATAACCCTATACACCTTTTAGATTAGTGCATTTTGTGGTCAATATATTTGCATATTATTTTTCAGTGGTCAAAAACGTCATATGAGGTTTCTGTGATCGCACAGACATGATGATAGATATAAAGGAGGATCATCTGTAATTTGCGAACAGGACTATCTAATGACATACCTCTGTATTGTTATATGCTTCCTGTTGTGTTTGAAATATCTTAGCAATCTGGTTACCAGTAAACCTCTGCAAGCAAGACATAAACAACATGTAATCATAGGGTCATGTTTCATCATTCATCTTACAGATCTCAGCACATTCTGAGAGTTCGGACCAATTTTTAGTCAAAACATGTATATGAATGGTCAGGACCAAGTCAGCATACGCCGAAAAAAACTTGATCTCGGTCACAACAGAGAGTCAGCACCGAAACTCATCACCTGCAGAGATTTGCTGTATTAAAATCAAAATCACGCCATTGGTGATGAACTTAAGAGAACACATACTAATTCATACTAGTATGACATGCTGATGAAAGGAAGTGCAGCAATATATGGTCAGACCAATGGAGGAGATGCAGATTCTATTAGAGCACCAACACATATGAGAAATGATGAATTTTTGGTTTTCAATTGTTCAAAAAAATAGGTGCAAATTCTATTAGGGATTCAGCTTGTAATACAGATTTGATGGTAATTTAAATACTTCGTTGTCATTCATGTGCACAATGACTCATAATAAATAACATAACAGACAATGATAATGATTTCAATAAAGTAATTATTATCATCCTATGTGTATCATCTACCATGTGTTGGTCAACTCACAGATCAACAAATCCTGTGATGTTAGACACTCTCTGAGCGTCTCAAGATACATACCTCATAAGCCCTGGATCCTGTGATGTCATAGACTCTCTGAGCACCCCAAGATACATACCTCATAAGCCCTGGATCCTGTGATGTTAGACACTCTCTGAGTACCCCAAGATACATACCTCATAAGCCCTGGATCCTGTGATGTTAGACACTCTCTGAGTACCCCAAGATACATACATCATAAGCCCTGGATCCTGTGATGTTAGACACTCTCTGAGCACCCCAAGATACATACCTCATAAGCCCTGGATCCTGTGATGTTAGACACTCTCTGAGCACCCCAAGATACATACTTCATAAGCCCTGGATCCTGTGATGTTAGACACTCCCTGAGTACCCCAAGATACATACTTCATAAGCCCTGGATCCTGTGATGTTAGACACTCTCCGAGTACCCCAAGATACATACCTCATAAGCCCTGGATCCTGTGATGTTAGACACTCTCTGAGCGCCCCCAAGCCTATCTTCAAGATTCCTGCATTGCTGTGTTGTACTGGAATCCATCCATATTGGGGAATCTCTGACACTAAACTGATCCTGTAAAGTGAGACAAACTATTGTCATTGCATTGTACAGTATAGTCACAGCAAAATTCAAATTTTGCACTACTGAGCATGTTACTGCACATATATGCAATGCATTATGGGATACTGTCAAGATTTGCACTACTGAGCATGTTACTGCACATATATGCAGTGCATTATGGGATAGACTATCAAGATTTGCACTACTGAGCATGTTACTGCACATATATGCAGTGCATTATGGGATAGACTGTCAGATTTGCACTACTGAGCATGTTACTG